TGACTATAAATAATAACAACCTTCCTGTTTCTGGCAGAACATCACCTAAGAGAAGACTTTGCTGGAAATGACATAAGTTTACTCAATAAATTAACTCAACTATACAAAAGAAATGACAAATGACAAATTATTGTTATGTAAGCATAGCAAAAGTGAATATATCACACCCACACATTACAACATTGGACTTGAGTGCTCAAGTAGCCAAATGGGACATTTCAGATCCTAGAAAATGTATGTCAGCCAAACTCACAAATTCATAAAAATAGTTGGCATGTCTCATAGATCCCTCTAAGTACAAATTTGGCAAGCTCTGCAGATGCTGCCTGCTGCAGTGGCAGTCTGGTATTACCATCTAAAATGTTTGAAATTTCCCAGATGTGCATGAGACTTTAAATACCTGTCAAAAGCAAATCCAAACACATTAGATTATGAAAATGCCTTATCATTTATTTAAAACAATGTCACTTTACTTTTAAAGTCTTTTTTCCCCATTTCTCTAGTATTCCTTCCTTTCTCTTTCCTTAGTGATCAAGTTATTGATTTGTTTCCCCAAAACACCTTCAGGTCAGCCCTGATTATCAAATTCAATGAGCATTTATTTATTATCATTGTGTTTGACTCTGGGCTGTTTGATATTTTTTTCAATGACTTGGATGAAGACATAGATCAGGGGTTTGTAAACTTTTTGTGTATATGCCATACATCCCTTTGGTGATCTGGTAATTTGGTAATCCTTTCTTAGAATAATGTTTTTAAGTGTACATAATAAAATACATAGAATTGCAAAATAAATCTCTTATATTTAAATATAATTATCAAAATATTACTAAAAAACAAGTTCACAAACCCGATGTTAAGAATCCTTGGGAAAATATTTGATAATCACAACTGCATATGACACAAAGCTGGGAGGAAGAGCTAACATAGTGGATGATACAAAATCCAAAAGTATCTACACAGGACAGAGCATTGGACTGAATCGAATGCAATGAAATTCGTTAGGGATAAACGTATTGCCTTGCGCTTGTATGCAAAAAAAGAAAATCAACCTCACAAAAATAAGATGGAAAGATGCATCAAGATGGTAGCATGTTAGGAACTAGCAAAGCCAAGATTCCCTCCTCCATGCATTTCAAAAAATTTCCAAAAATGCATTAGAAGAGATAATAATAATAAAGAAAACCAAAGAAAAGCAGTTATAAATTCTACTATCCAGACCAAGACTGCACAAAAATACTACCAGGATGCTGTGGAAAGTTTTTGCAGTGATAAGCCAAGGTTGGCAGAAGACTTGCAGGAATGCTTGCCCACAGTAAGTACCCACAGCAGAACATGGGAACAGACCATTGGTCAGCACGGGAGATAGCCCTGCCCAAACCATTGCAAAAGACAGGGTTAGAACAGTCCTCGAGCAATGCAGAGACAGGCAGCACAGCACCAGCCAGGGATGAAAACAACTCTGGGATTGGAATTGTGAAAGAAGGAGACAAAGAAAGAACCAAGGTCAGAGCCTAAGTTAAATCATCAAGACAATGAGCCAAAACCTAGGAATTCCTGCCAAAGGCAAGGTCTAGTCTTAGCTTCTGCATCCAAGATAGAGAAGAGCCTCCCATAACATGCAAGAGTACAAGATAGTGCAGAGTTTGCTACAAGCACCAATCCTTAATATAAGAAAATAGAGCTTGGGATATTGTTAAATATTTTTTAAAATTCTGAACACAAAAAGAAATACTATGGACTGAGAGAAACCAAGACTTAAACCCAGGAGAGGAGAATAACTCCATAATAAGATACATTACACAATGTAAAAGAAAATAAGAGCTAGCGAGGAAATAATGGCCAAGAAAACTCATGGGTTACAAGAGATGTTGATAAATTTTATCCCAAAATTGAGTTCCTTGAAAATTATAAGAATACTAACTGAAAGCGAGGAATCAGAGAAAATTAGAAATATTAAAATAAAATCACAATATTACAAAATGCAGAAGAAAGTATAAGGTACATATCGTCAAAAACAAGTGACCGTGAAAACAATTCAAGAAGAGATAATCTTAGAATCTTAAGACTAACAGAAAATAATGAACAAATAAAAATCAAGCAAATGAGCAAGAATAAACAAAAACCTTCCTGACATATTAGTGCCACACGAAAACAGAAATAATCTATCAGTCTCCTCCTGAAAAAAAAAATTAAAATGAAAACTCCCAGAAAGGTAATAGCCAAAATTCAGGGCATCCAGGTGAAAGAAAAAATATTGCAAGCAGCAATACAGAAAGAGCTCAAGGACCACAACAAATTTGATGAACCACATTTAGGTTTACAAGAGATTTTACAGCGCTAATATAAGGACCTGGAAAACCTGGAACTTGGCAAAACTGAAGGTAATCCTGTAAGAGGACAAAATAGATCCTTATTGAAAGATTTTCAAACACTTCTAATGAAAAGGCCAGAAGTGAATATATGATTTTGAAATGCAAAACCAATACTCAAAAGAAACAAAGAAAAGTAAATATATATGATCAATTTGAAGGAACTATATGATGATGAATTGCTTACATTATAATAGAGGCAGTCAGTGGCCCAGTGAATAGAGTTTTGAGTCTGGAGACAAACAACAACAACACACACACACACACACAAAAAAACCAACAAATAAACCTGGGTTCAAATGTAGCCTTAAAAGACTTACTAGTTGTGTCACCCTGGACCAGTCACTTAATCTTTGCCTGCTTCAGTTTCCTCAATTGTAAAATGGAAATAACAACCTCCCAGGGTTGCTGTGAGGATCAAATGAGATAATATTTGTAGAGTTTAGCATAGTGCCTGGTACATAGCAGGTACTTAATAAATGCTTGTTTTCTTCCTTACTTTTTCTCCCTTCCTAATGGGGTAGTACCCTTTCAGAACTCAATTGTCTTCAAGAATCATAGAAAAAATCAAATAAAATAGGAAGAAAGCCTTACTGTAGTTTTGTTCTCTTTTGATGGTCTTTTGTTCAGTTAAAGTGAATAGTATGAACTGACCCATAAAATGGAAGAGGATAGCAGAACAGATTCAAAAGCAGAATGCAACAACATATTGTCTACAAGAAATATAAAAAAAATACATAAAGTGTTAAAATAGGAGGCTGGAGCAAAATCTCTTTCACTTCAGGTAAATTCAGAACAGCAGGAGTGCCAATCATAATTTAAAATAAGGCAACAACAAAAATAGACAAGATAAAAAAAAGATCAGTAGGGAAACCACATTGTGCATAAAGTTACTATAGACAACAAATCAATGTAAATATTTAATACAGATGCATTGAAAAACATGGGATCTAAATACTTAAAGGAAAAATTATCCAAAATGCAGAGAGAAATAGACTAAGCTAAAATGGTGTTGGACTACAATATGCCTATTTTAGATGAAGGCAAATCTAACAAAAAGGATAAACAAGAAAAAGTTATGGACTTGAATAAAATTTTAGAATATTTAAGAGATCAGTGATCTCCAGTTATTACTGAATGGGAACAGGAAAAAAAATTACATAATTCTTGGCTATGCATTGGCACCTTAATAAAAATTGACTGTGAATTTGGGACATAATTGGGACACAAAGAAATGCAAAAAAACAAAAGCATAAGATGAGAGAGGCATGGATGGACAGCAGTTATCTTGAAAACAGAATGTTTGGGGTTTTTTTATTGGATGGCAAGCTTAATATGAGTCAGCAGTGGGGTGTGGTGGCCAAAAAGGCTAATATGAATTTGAGCTGAATTATGAGGGGCATAACTCCCAGGAATAGGGAGATGATAGTCCCAATGCATACCATGCTCATTAGATTTCATCTGGCGTATTGTATTCAGTTCTGAGCACCATAGTTTAAGAAAGTTTTCAATTAGGTGGAGAGTGTCCCAAATAAGGCAGCTAAGAGGGTAAATGTTCTTGAGTCTCATGTCCTGTGAAAATCATTTGAAGGAAGTAGGCCTATTTAGTCAGAAGGAAAGAAGTTCCAAGGGAAACATGATCTTTAAGTTTTGGAAGATCTGTCACACTTGGTCTGTTAGGCCCTGGGGTAGAAGCAACAACCAGGAAAATAGAGGTTAGCTGTCAGGGAAAACTTCCTAACAATTAGAGCTGGTTTTGAACAGTAGAATGGCTTGTCTCAAGAGGAGGTGGAGTTTCCCTCTTTGGAGGTCCTCAGGCAAAGTCTGAATGACTAGTTGATAGGGATGTGCGGATTCCTTTAGCATATGGACTGAACTAGATGTTTTCTGAGGTCCTTTCCAACTCTCAAATTTTGTGATTGTGTGAAGAGCTTACTTTGCACAGAGTTTTGCGCTAGGTGCTGGGAACACAATGACAAAACAAAACAAAACAAAATATAATATCTCCTGCCTGTCCTCAAGGGCTATAAATACTGTTAAGGGCATATAAAATATAAACTAATAGGTATGCACATAATAATTTGAGGAAAAAGGATAAAAAGCACTAGTAGATAAGGAGATCACATATCTCTTTTGGAAATACTGAACAATCTGGGATGAGAAACTGTAATTCCAGGAATTACTAGTCAACAAATGACATAACTTCATTAATGTAGCTTGAGAAAATACTTGATACATTAATTGTGTTTTTGAAAATCATGCCCTCAGCTTTAGTTCTAGGACTTAAAATTGTAACCAGTATTTGCACAGCATTTAAGACCAAAGGGCTTTTCCCTCTTTCCCTTTATCCCCACAATGTCCTTAAGAAGTAGCTATTGCCACAACCAGGTAGGGAACTGAGGCACAGAACAAAGTAATCCTAATACTAAAGTCATAGGATTAGAACACACACTAAAATCAGGAATAAGGACCCAAGACTCCCCAAACCCTGATTAGTGTTCTTTATACTTGACCTTTAAAAAGTCCAATGTATTTTAATAGATACGATTTTTGGCAAATAAGTATTCATTAATTCTATTTCAATAATTTTATTTTAGCTAATATATTCAAATAATGTTCTATACTTACAGATCACAATACAATTTTCAAAGTGCTATCTCATTTGATCTTCATAATGCAGTCAGGTAGGCAGAGCAGGCGTTTATTTTCTTTTGACAGATAAGAGAACAGAGCAACAAAGAAGTTAAGTAAAATCCAGAAGGAATTTGGCTTATGAGTGGCAGAAATAAGACTTCTGATTCTTAGTCTAGTGTTCTTTCTATTATATCAGAAACCACTGCTAGAGAGCTTTGCCTAATCAAGGCATTTCTTAAGCAGAAATTCTGTCTGTACACTAGCAACACAGCTGAGATCATCATGCCCCAAAGGAAAAATCTGTGCCAAGTAAGTTAAAGGGGAGATTTAGCTGGCTAAGCTAGTGGGAACTGTAGTGAGATACTGCAAGTTAGAAATCACCATGATGTGCACCACACAGAAGAATCTATTCATGAGGAAATAGACTGAATTGACTTACTGGCTTCCATTGTGCATGATGTTACAGTAGTTTGGAGTTCAAGGTTAGAAGAGTCCCTGAATCAATATCTTGTAACTCTGAAGAGGGGGAGGAGGGAGTGTGTGCGAATTGAGGGTATGGGCAAATACAGTGCACCAAGCCAGAGGGGGAAAATGTTCTTTGATCCTGGCTTCCTGGGCAGATTCAACCTAAAATTACTTTCTAAGGAGGACAGACAACTCGTTTCTGGAGAGCTCTGTGTTCACATCATATGCCACAATACACCTGGGACATAGCAGCATAGATCCAGATGACAGCTACACAAAGCATAAGTGGTGAGTTAAAACATGAACTACATCTGCTTATGCTCTTTCACAAGAGTTTTGTTTTTTCTTTCTGAAGATTGGTAGCAGTTTAAACAACTCTTTTCAATTCAATCCAGCTACCATTCTTCTGCCTCTAAGCATGCTATGACTAAGAAATCAGTGAGTTTTGAATTTTTGGTTCATGACTGAGCTATAGAACTCAAAGATGATTGCCCAGAGAAATTCTTTCTAAGTATACAGGGAGACTCGTGGTCCTTGATGCCATTTATTTAAAGAACACACGTAACGTATTTAGTGAGTAGGCAGCATGGGAAAAATAAAAAGCAGTGGATGTCTGTATATATATATGCTATGCTCCAACATTCATATGGATTTTTAAGAAAATAGCTTTAAAAAAGAAGGAAAGGAAGAGAATAGAGGAGGAGAAGAGATGTACACTAGACTAACCTAAATCATAAGTTTAGCTCCAATATTAACTTGCAATTTGACTAAAGGTCATTTAATTTCTCTGGCTTTTAGTTACCTTCTCTGGAAAACTAGAATAATAATACCTACCCTTCCTACCTCAAAGCTATCATGAGCTAATGAAGCATAGCCCTTATAAGATCTGGGGATCCTCATCCCAATTTCCACTCTCACAGAACAAGGCTAAATTTATACCCTTGAGGTTCTGAGGGGGTAGGATGGCTCTTTAATACTCCCACTCAAGCTTCTGTTCCATTATGTTCTCCTTAGTATTAGCCACTAGTGATCAGTGCTCCAATTTCATTTAATCAATTAGTTTTTACAAAGAGATATTTACTCTGAAGAGCAAAACCAGAAGGTATAAATTAGCTGCTCTGCCAAATCTAGGGGTACACTCTCCCCTATGCTATATTAGTCCATGAGGAAAGTGGATGCAAACCTAATACAATTTCCACAAAACATTCACTCCACCAAGTTTACCTCCAAAATTCACTATAGCTGAATGATAATTTGCTAGAGCTCCTTCTTAGTTATTTTTGATCTATTCTGGGTCCAACAAGTCACTTGGAACATCAATCCTTACTGTATAGCTGCCAGCTGAATTCTGGAATTTTGGGTAGCGCTCTCTCTCCTGTCATTCAAAGCTCACGATATCACAAGGTTGTAGCTATGTACAATATTCCTTCACCTAAAAGCGGAAAAGAATAAAAGCAACAGAGACAGAAATAGCAGAAGAGCCATGTGCTTATGAGCAACATCACATCAGCCCTGATGGAGAGATAGAGGCCTGAGGCCTCTCTCTGCACTGAGGGCTCATCCCCTGACTCCTCACTTGAGCACTGCCAAGCAGGAATGAGGACAAGACCCTACTTCGGACAGCTACATTTGAATATACCCCATTTCTGCCTCCAACAGCCAATTAGTATATTTCTTCACCACATGATTAGTAGACCAGAAGCATATATAAAATGCCTGTGTATGTTTCAAAATAGGGAGTATGGCCCTTCTATTATATTACATCATGCCTTTCTAAAAACAGATTGTTAGCTTCTTTCCATGTGAGGAATTAATCAGCCAGCCAAACTGTCCATCCTTACCAACTCTCTTTTATGCATGTAATGTTGATTGGCTGTTGTCCCAGAAATGGGGTACATTTAAAAGGCACTAACTAGCCAGAGGACTCTAGATTTGTAGTACTATTCTGTCCTTCAATAAATTAGTGTGGAATGGAGCTGAGCCTAGGTTCTTGGAGGCTATGCTAACAGATTTTGAGCCCTGGCAGGTGCTACCGAGTTGAAATGGCCGGAGCAACGGACTGTGCATCTGTTGTGAAAAGACCAGCCTAGCTACCTTCTGAAGTTCCCTATCCAGTTGACTACAGGGTGATCAGTGTTTTGGCCATTACACTTTTGACTGATTTGTAGAGGATTTGTGATCTTCAGAGGTAGACTGAATACATACCCTGACAAAAGCACACATTCTTGAGGTATAAGAAGACAACTCTCCATTTAAAAAACATAATTTATTATAGTGCATCTGCCACTGAGGATGGACAACAACCAAAGTGGAAACTACTCATACCAGAGTAAACTAGTTGTTTGTCCTTGATTTCAAAGGGGACCCATGACACCATAGGTGATGTCATGACTTGTGCATGAACTGGATGTAAATGAAACAGAGATGTGCAGTCATCAGCCTCCAGAGTCACTGAAGTTCAACAGAAAGGCAAAAGTCAGGCCTGGGATGTAGTAAATGACCTTGCCATCTTCCATGCCTGACCATACCTTACTCTAAAAAAACCAAACAAACCTTAAAAGTTCTCACCAGACCAAATAATGATCATAAAATCAAGTGAGAAATTACAATGTCATCTCTTACCTGAAAACTACATAAAATATTAGCCAGTGGAACAAGGGAAATAGGAAAAGGAGTCCCTCCAATAAAGCTAACATCAATACAGGGACACCAAAGAGGATGTCTAGAGGCAGAAAGAATGGAAGGTTCTGCTGAGAAAGCTCGAGGGCAGAGGTGGGGAACCTGTGGCCTTCTAGGTCCCTGGGTACAGCCTTCTGAGTGAGTCCAAGTTTTATAGAACAAATCCTTTTGTTAAGGGGATTTGTTCTGTGAAGTTTGAATTGAATCAAAGGGCCCCATTTGAGGACCTGGAGGGACAAGTGTGGTCTCTAGGCCACAGGTTCCCCACCCTTGCTCTAAGGTGATAAAAAAAAAGACCCATGGTGATAAGAAAGCCCAATATAAGGACTTCCAAAACCCTGTGGAGTAGTAGCAGAGATGGACTAATGACTTTGTAGTACTATAACACTCAAATTGGGACAACCTATACTCTAGGTCATTAGAGTTCCTAAAGTATTATCCCAATATGCTAGAGAATGACCAAAAGATACATCAATCTGTATCACAAAGTTTCAGGGGGACCTAGCTTTTGGAGGTGGAAGTCACTTCAAATAACTAGGAATCCGAGGACGAGATCAAGCAGAACCAAACATCACACCTGCAAGTCTGGCAGTGGGTAGACCCTGGCCCTGGTACAAAATCCCTGTCCCCACAAGAGCTGGAGAGATTACTAAATAAAAACAAACCGAGACAAAGACACACAGACACTGACCGGCATAAAAATTACTGCAAATCTACAGAACTCATATTTCAATGTATTTCAAAAAATCATGAATTAAATCTACCCAAATCAATTGGATCCAGAGAGCGAAGCAAGGATTTAACAATCACCTCTTAAAAGAAAAAATTTTTTAAAAAAAGTCCCAGGAATGTAGTAGCCAAAACCCAGAGCTGGCAGCACATCAAAGAATATGTGTGTGCATACATACATACATATGTGTGTGTGTGTGTGTATACATAGATACACATGTGTGTGTATCTATAGATATATATCTATATGTGTATATAAACATACCTATGTATGTATACACATGTATATGAATGTGTATATGTGGACATATATGTGTGTATACACACATGCATATGCACACACACATATATTATATAACTAGTATCCAGAAAGGAGTTTAAGAACCAAGCATTTGGGATCACACAAGACCTGGCAACTTGTACTATATTTAAGAGGACTTCTTGGATTACAATATTCCAGAAGGAAAAAGAGATACGCTTACAACCAAGAATCATTTACCTTGCAAAGCTGAGTTAGCAACAGTAATGAAAGGAAGGAAGGAAGGAAGGAAGGAAGGAAGGAAGAAGAGGAGGAAGAGGAGGAAGAGAAGAAGAAGAAAGAAAGAAAGAAAGAAAAAAGAAAGAAAGAAAGAAAGAAAGAAAGAAAGAAGAAAGGAAGAAAGAAAGAAAGAAGAAAGAAAGAAAGAAAGAAAGAAAGAAAGAAAGAAGAAGAAGAAAGAAAGAAGAAGGAAGGAAGGAAGAAGGAAGGAAAGGAAGGAAGGAAGGAAGGAAGGAAGGAAGGAAGAAAAAAGGAAAAAAGAGAAAAAGAAGAAAAGAGGGAAGGAGTAAGGGAGAGAAGAAAGGGAAAATGTAACAATTTTTTAAATGCACAGAAGAGGACAGAGGGAAATTCAGTAGGAAGCAGAGACAAATGGGGCAGTTTTCAAAGTAATCTGTAGAATTTGTTATATACTTTTAAAAAGAAAAGTAAAAGATATGAAATAGGGATTTATTTTTATATGGAATTATCTTTTTGTGTTCTACCATGTGAATGGAAATGCTTTTTCTGTTTAATTTCTTCAAAAACATATTTTAGGTATATACCATCTGGAGGCACTAGTGCTAGAATATTAATTATTATTGGGGATTAAAAAATGCTCTTCTTGCCATCAAGGAGCTTACTAATGTCACTGTGACATGAACATAAGTACAATACAAGGTAAAATGTGAAAAAGGCAACAAAAAAGGCAAAATGCTAGAACTTAGAAAAAAGAGA